ACTAAAAGTGATGTTAATTCCGTTTTCTTCTCTATTTCGATCCCTTTTGTCTCCTAATGTCGTTTGGTGTTAATTCTGTTCCCACTCATTTACCTTACACTTGATATTTGCCTATTTTTCCAACAATTGAAGTATCATATCTACATTTCAGGCCCACGGAGAAATCAAAATTCCCAGGATTATCAGGTATTTAGCTTCTCCATGATTTCGGTGCAGAACAAGTTGAATGCTTTTAAGTGTTAAAATATCTCTGTCTAGATATACTATACAATTAGGCTTCTGTTCACGTTTGCATATATGCACTACATGTGCACACAGGCACCTATATTGGGGGCTGAGTAGAATTGATTGCCTTAACATGAATGGAAGCTTTAGATGATTAAGTCATCACAGCCTGGGCAGGCCTTTTCCTGATTTCCATTTATAATTTTTCTTCCTAAAATATCCTAACCATAGATTTTGTACCGGAATTTTTTCTCTAGATCATTATGACATTCAAACTCTTTGTGTGAGAAATATAATGAGTTGAATACATTGAAAGTTGAAGCATTTTCTTACTTGCAGGTTATTTGGCAAGACAACATTGATCCTGATAGCATGACTTACGAGGTTTGCTACTAGTTTTATACTTTCTCCTCCTCAGAATTTGGATAATACATTTCTATTATCATTAAGTAATCTGTCTTATCTATTGAAAAGTTTTGATTTTTCTCTAGATTACGTATTCATTAGGATGTTATGCTAACAAAAAGGATATTTTAGCAGTTCATACTGAATTTTTTTCCTTGATGGTGTAGATTTACTTCATTGGTAGGAAGGTTACTTGTGCTCTAAAAAGTTCATTTCAAGTAATTTCAGTTCGTTCTCAATGACGTGTGTTTACACCATAATTAACCGAGCATGTCCAGCCTTAAAACAACTAGCACCAAGGCAGACTTGCCTTCTCCCCTGCCGAAGGAAGACACTCTTCCAAGATGCCAGACACCTGCCAAGGCTCCCGACTGCTGAAGGTCCCAATTGCTGAACCTAATCTCAAGGACACGTGTCGCCACCACAGCGCTTGGACATAGTCCCACATCGGAAATCTACACAAACCTCTCATTTTCACTTCTGTTTTTTTGTTTTTTTCCTGAAATGCTACATTCCTTGCATAATAGCGTAGAATATTATATTCCTAGCTAGTCTCATCAGCCTCATCAGCTTTTACCAGTGGATATGATTTTTGGTTCTGGCCCTTGTATTCTTGGTGGGGATCTGACTCCATAATTGTTAGTGAGCGAATCTCTGAAACATAACCATGTTCTCTAGTTTAAGCTGTTGTATGTCTTTAACACCTTGTGTCGTATGGAAACATCTAGTACTTGTTAAAAACATTTCTTTGGTTCCTTATATTTTTGTGTTTTTACATATATTTTGAATCAATATTACTGACAATGTTTTTCATGTTCCGGAATTACTTGAGTTAGGTGAGGCAGTTGGAACTCAAAGTCGATGTCTTTCTCAAGATCAGATTTCTTTGCTTCCAATCTCGAAGTGCAAATGCAGCTTTTTCTCGAGAAAGGAATCACGAGATGAGAGGTACTCTCTCTCTCTCTCTCCAACAGCCCCTCAAATCAAAATTGGAAATCTAAAGTCCTACTTTATGGAATTGCTTATGGTTTATTATAGCACCGGACAGTTTAATATTTACTAATGTTTGCAAGAATAACATTTTCCCTTGTTCTACTTTTTTTCTTTTCTTTCAATTTATCTGAAAACAGAAAGAACAGAAAATTGGTTTTTCTTGATTTCATAAATATGGGATTCTGGAGAGATATAGAACACTAATTTATCGGAGAATGAAGGTACCCTTTTGCACAAGGCTGTTTGATCAAAATGTTTCTACGATAGAATGATGACATAAATATAGCAAATAGGGCATTATAAGCAAGGTAGCTCACTGTCAAACATAAAAGTAACGACTTGATTTTCTGCTGCATCATGCTTCGTTTGCTGTCTGTGATTGAAATATATGTCCAACATGTTCGATAGAAATATATGTCCAACATGGTCATTCACTAGGATAGATACTGTTCGGTGTATGAGGTGAGAAAGTTTGTAATAATCCTGTATGAGGACCTATGATTTAAGGTACTGGCTACTAGTCACTAACAAAGTCTTTGGGCCTTATGCTGCAAGACTAAATTATAATGTGTAGTTATATTGCACTTTTCTTGTCACTTCAATTTTATGTCTCATAGAACTCATATCTGCATCTGATGAAAAATTGAATATACATGTCAAGAAGTTTATCATCCATCCAACCTTAGACGGGATTAGATTGGTTTGGATTGAAAAATCTACAGAGACACCAGTATAAGTATCGGATTGGATTTAGTTTTGCTAAAGTTTAATGGTTAGGGTTTCATCTTGGTAAGTGATTTATATAATTAGCTCCCATCCCATATTAGAAGTTTTCGGGATCTGTCTGTGCCTACTACATGGTGCCTTCCAATGGTACTGAGTATTTATCTCCACAACCAAGGATAGAGTTCAAATCCCCCCTCCCAATGGTAACAAAACACTTTTTTTTTTTTCCCGTCATTAACTTGTATTCCCTTGTTGGACGTAGATGTGTGATTTGCCAGATGGAATATAAACGAGGGGACCGATGGATTACTCTACCGTGCAAACACCTCTATCATGCTGGTTGGGGGACCAGATGGCTTAGCATCGACAAGGCAAGCTGTTCTGTTGGATTAAGTTTAGCTGATAGTATTTGATTTTTCAGGCTTGCCCAATATGTTACACTGAGGTGTTTGCTGATGCGTCAAAGTGCGAGAAATAATCCTGATGAGCTTAAAAAATACGATGATTTTTCTTCTTCAAACGTGGCGGTTATACAGAGATGTTTGCTTCAATTTTCCACGTTATTTGTAGAAGCATTGTGTTAGCTGTTATAATAAAAATTAAAATATTATGAAGTGAAGAATTCAGATAAGTAGATGATGTGTCGTGGATTTGTGAGGTGCATGGTGTTGTTGTCTTAGGATTATTATGCTTTGTTTGTTATATCATATAGGGCCCTATTTTTTGTTTTTACAAAAGGCTCCTAAATTCCAGGATCGTCCCCATCACAAGTCAACATGGATAATAAGTGCAAAATGTAAACCTCCTAACATAATTTCATTGCCATTATTTAAATAATGGACTTTAATTATTATGATTGCAATTGCAAATCATGTCTCTTAATCACATGATGGGATCAAAAATTTGATTGTTATTGCTTCTATTGGGATGTTCGCTTACATACCCTTGATGGGATCAAACCGATGTAGTTCCAAGTTTGGAAATTAATGGGTAAATATGACCCACTAATTTAGAATTTGTGTTTGAGAGATTTAATTTAATCATTAACACATGCATTTGTATCCATGCATGATTTGGAGGATTTAAGATTAATGGGCTATTGTGGTTGACAAACCCGTTAATCCATATTGATGCTCCTTTAGTATCTTTTGAGAGCGAGCTTGATGCTCAGTGCATGACCAATTATTTATTTGGATTGGAGTCACCGTCACAACATGGTTGAGTCGCTTGGCACTCCTTTCTGAATAGCTTCTTCGCCACAGTGATTGATTCCCACATTTCTTAGTGGGGCTTTTGATGTGGTTTTGTACCACTTGGGCTTTCACTTGACGATTTGGAAACTAATACGCATTTTTGTATTTAAGCTCATGAATTCATAATTTGTGGATTTGAGACTTTGCACCACTTTGCCAATTGAATTTTCAATGGACAAGTTCATTGGGCTTGGGACTTGCACTTGACAGCCCAACATATTTTAATGGGCATAGCCCATGACTCTATGTCTTGGGCACTAGGCCTTATTGCATGGACGAACCCATGAAGCCCACAGTCCCTTATTGACTCAGCTTTGAATTTTGGTGGAACTATATTTATTGCAAATGGACATTAATATGGCTCCTTTTGTATAATTAATACTAGTCCAATTCCATTTTTAGTCACTTTATAATTGAATTTCACCAAGTTCTCCTGATCAAGTTTAACTTTCAAGTGCTTTAGCTTTGAAAAACCAAGTATGTGGTAAATGTTCTTTGCTGTTTTTGCTACATGGTGGGATGGATAAAGCAGTTGGATATTTTCATCTTTTGTGCAGTGGTCAACATGAGTTTGTGGTTGCAATTACGGGCATAGAAAACATTGGGAAGGGGCTAACTCGCGATGGGACAGGGTTTGTCACATTCCCTGTGAAGGACTAGTGTGTTGTTTTCATACCATTCGAAGGAGAGATCTTAGAAGCTGTTGTTACTATGGTGAACAAGGTATGCTTTCCTCTTTTACCTATCAAGGTGATGGCATCAATATTCTTTGTTTTTTCAAGCACTTGTATTCTTCATGCAAACTGCGGAAAATATGTGATGGCATCTGAATTCTCATAGATGGGATTTTTTTGCTGAGGCTGGTCTTGTTCAAATCTTTGTTTCAAACCATGTAAGTATCTGCCCTTGTTTATTCTGAGCAGTGATAAGCTTTTATCCATATCTTTTAGAAAATTTTGTCTTGTATGAAGTCATAAGCTTTGGCAAGGACTAAGGTGGGTTGCATTGTTGGTATTGTGTGTGTTTCTCTTTGCCTTCTATTCCCCCCC